ATGGATAGAGCGTCGGCTTGGGGACTGAAAGGTCCCGGGTTCGATTCCAGTCAAGGGCATGTACCTTGGTTGCGGGCATATCCCCAGTAGGGGTTGTGCAAGAGGCAGCTGATCGATGACTCTCTCTCATCGATGTTTCTAACTCTCTATCTCTCTCCCTTCCTCTCTGTACAAAATCAATAAAATATATTAAAAAAATCTTAAAAAAAGAAAAGTAATAGCATAGAGAATTAATTGTACAATGTTAAAATGATGCAGATGTATGCTAAGCGAAATAAGCCAGTCAGAGAAAGAAAAATATTACATGATCTCACTCATTTATGGAATATAATGAACAACATAAACTGATGAGCAAAAACAGATCCAGAGACAGAGAAGCATCTGTCAGACTGTCAAACCTCAGAGGGAAGGTAGGGAAGGGTGGGGGTAAGGGAGAGAGATCAACCGAGGACTTGTGTGCATGCATATAAGCCTAACCAATGGACACAGACACCAGGGGGGTGAGGGCATGAGGGGGCAGGGTGGTGGTGGTGAGGGGGGCAATGAGGTGATAAGGACACATATGTAATAACTTAATCAAAGAAAAACAAAGAGATGCAAATATGTATAAGGAAAACTGAGAATGTAAAGGCTTCATCTTTTTTTAACACAGACTTTTATAATGAATTCTAGGGAGGAAAAGAGCTCAGGTGACTGAGTTCTAGCTCCCAGCCAACGTAGGCGCCATCCACCTGAACTCACTTTCTGACAAGGATGCTTGTTTCACTGATGAATGGCTTTCAAATGATACAAAGTTATTCCTGCTATTGAAATGAAATCTTTTTCAAGGTATCTTCCCTCCTCTTTCCAGCCCCCATCCCATTAGTCCTAATTTTGCCCTCTTCTGCAATGGATGGGTTGATGCTCTTTGGCTACAGACTTCACTGGGCCTTTTCCTGGACATGGGAAGATAGGTGCCTGCTTTGGGAGACTCCACGTTCTTCTTGTATGATCACACTGAGCCTCCAAACAAGGCAGAACGAAGTTTCATTTGGACAGAGTTCCTCAAGCTTTGAAAATTCTGCTATGGTTGCTTCAGTCTTTAGCTTATGGCTATTATTTCTATTAGAATACAATGCTCCCATCCTCCCAATCCAACCTTAAAAAGTTAAAGCCTCCGTTATTTTCATCACTCACAAATTATAGTTGACTCCTGCACAACACAGATTTGAACTTCATGGGTTCACTGGTTTCAGATTATTTCCAAATACCAGTTTTTGATGGGAATAGAATGAAAACCAGAGGGATGTGATGGGGAGGAGGGTCTGAGGAAAGGACACAGAAAGATGAGAATCATGACATACTTTACAGTTTGTAGAAGGTTGGCAGCTGGCAACTTCCCTTAGCTTTTGCCAAGACTTTGGATTATTCCAGCCACAGCTCTGCATTTCTTTTTGGTGGGGGGTTGGATTCTGTGGGATTTAAGGATTCTGCACTGTTTGAATTTTTATATTTTCTTTCAGAGAACTTAATAAAATACATATCCTAATATTGACCTTTATCTTTTCTGAGGAAATCAGGTTAATATAAATTAAAATGATAAATACTCTGAGTCCACAACAGTATATTTCCTGCTATTAATGTCTTTGTTTCTCTCCTTGCATTTGTCCCTGTCCTTCCTATCTTTCTTATCTTAGTAAAGAAAGTGCACAGTAGGGAACATTTTCTTGGAGGAAAAAAAAAATCTATAGACTTAGGAACAGCCAAGGTACAATCTCTTATAGACAGCTGCAGGACAAGGGCATCCTTGAAAGGCCTGACAAACTGGCAATGATTTCTGATTAGTAGAGTTCCCATTGCCATGTCATACACTCAAATAGAGGAAGGGTCCTACTGCTGATGTCTTTTAATGCCTATTCAGCGTATGATCAACATGTGAGATTCAGAGTGGAAGATGGGTAAGGTCCGTAATGTAGGGAAAGCATTATGTCAAAGTTCTGGATAGATTTTTAGATTTTCCTAAAGTACATGCTGAGTTGTAATACCTACTTTCCAATAATTCCCTTAACTATCAGTCTTAGTAGTAAATTCAGTCTTCTTAATTCTCAACAGGAAACATTAAAACAATGAAGATACTCAGGAGAAAGTTTCCCAGTCTCTGTCTTGGAGCAGGTATTCTATGATTGATGGGATGCAGTATGGGAATGCCTAAGAAACTGATTCTCATGCCCCTGCCCTGAAGGATGCTTCCTGGGTAGTTGGCAGTTGAGACCCACATCTGTTGCGAACTGGCCCAATGCCATCAGCTTTTGTTCTCTGAATTGGAAAGGAACTCAAAGGTGGGGTGATAAGGGTACAGGGAACCACAGGATGTGGATATTCTGGGTCCCTGATGCCTCATAAGGAAGATGAATCTGTTGGATTAGGCTGCTGGTGAGAAAACTGAGTCAGCAGGGGACAAGAACAGTTTCTTAGCTCTCAGGGCCCATCTATCCTACTGCTTTCTACCTTTGTTAGAACATAGGCTTTTCCTGAGTTGTTAGCCAATCTGAATAGTCAGGTAGGACTATGGAGATCAGTGTGATGGCATAAACAATGCTGAACAAGGAGATCCTATCTCCAGATGTGTCAGAGACCAGATGGCTTGTAGTGTGGAAGCCAAAGGCTATGGCAAAACCATTCTAATTCTTTCTGGCAAGTGATCTGTCTGTACTGATAGTTAACTTGATGAGTGTATGTAGGACGAAGTCTCAGTTTTCACCACTGAACTCTCTATATGCAGAAACAATGTATGGGAACTGGTAGAAATGTATCCAAATGGAAATGCAGTGTGATTAGATATGTGTTTAATTATAGCTCTTGGAGTCTGCATTAGAGATAGAAAAAGATTTTCCTCTGGAGTCAGATTCACTTACTTTACCTTGAGCCTCCAGACTAATTCAAGATTATGTTGACTTATTCCAGGTTATTTCTGAGTAGACCACGTCTGCCATAAATACATGGTAGAATGAGGTGAGGTGTTAGAACAAAAGTAGACCAGAAAGTTGGAGTTGTCTAAGGTGAGAATCCTTCTTTATTCCATTGAAGGGATATGATTTGGATATCTCCCATTACAGTCCACAGAACTGGTACACTCAAACCTTTGCTCAGGTGCATTCAAATCTTTGCCCAGGAGCCATGTATCTCATAGAATCTAAAATTCAGTCCTGAGCTTTTACAGGAGTGATATGTACAATAGATAGCCCAATCTTTTCCAATGGCAAATATATCGATGGAGTAGCTGGAGCTGGATTTAGGTAGAAACTTCCAAGTCTTTCTGAATCAGGCACCTTTAAAAGTCATAATATCAGTGGAATTCAGGTGCAGTTCTAAAGTGCTGCTCTGGGGACAGATCTCTGAGAAAAATGACTTGAATGGCAGAAGGGGATGTTATCTGTCAGACCCACATGGGTTGGGGTAGGAGTCAGAAGCAAAAACAGAAATAGGAAGGGACCTGTTTTGCATCATTTCCCTGCTGAGACTCAAATGGTTTGGGAATGACCATTGTTGGAAGATGTAGGGCACAGGTCAGGGAGGCTGGGAGAAGAACTGAATTTTAAAAAATTATATAGTATCAACACTCTGTGAGCAAATGTTATAATTTTATAAAGTGGAGGTCAAAGGATCAAGATTAGAGAAAGATATTTAGAAATAAATGCAGCAGGAGACACTAAGTGAATGATTGGGTATAGAACAATAACATCGAGAGCATTTTTACTGATATTGTAAACTATGCCAATGTACAATGTAGCCCAAGCTTGAGCTCTTTGCTCCTCAGAGCTGCCTGGGATAACAGAGAAATGGAAGAGGACATTTCTACATAAGGTTTCTGAAAAAATATTTAATTTGTACATTGATCTTGTAATGGAAATATGAAAGCCCAAAGGCTTTTGGGAGTTAGCTTCAAAGGGAAATAATAGAAAACACAAATAAACCAGAGCATTTACAGAAAAAGAAGACAAGCCCGGTTTAATGAATGGTCAGATGTAACATAGCTTGGAACATATAATTTTCTTTCAGAGCACTGATAACATTTCAGTGAACTTGAGTCTGGATGCCTGTGTTGAGCAACAATGGCAGCCGCTGTTTTGTGTGAGTTCAATCAGGAGAGACAGGGAATAATTAGTCTGATTCCTGACACTGTTGTTTATCAGAGCCTTTGGCTCAAAAACACTGTGAGATGTCTTGTGGGTTTTTAAAAAATTTATTTTTATTATTTATCTGTTTGTTTTTCAATATCATTTTTAAAAAAATCCTCACCCGAGGGTATTTTCCATTGATTTTTAGAAAGAGGAAAATACAGAGAGAAACATGAATATGAGAGAAACATCAATTCATTGCCTCCTGCACTCACCCTGGAGGCACGTGCCCTTGACCACAATCGAACCCAGGACCCTTAAGTCCACAGACTGACACTCTATCCAAATAGAGTGTCAAACCAGCTAGGGCTTGTGTTTTCCATATTTTGCTTTTGTTTTGTGAATGTTGTACAGAGCTACTCTTATGCCTGAGGACCTTGCCTTTTCACACTGTGTATGTATGTATATATATGATACCCTATATTGGTGACACCAATGATTCATTTGTAAGCCTTTCTTAATGCCTAATTAATATCAGCACTTCAGGTAGCTTACAATACTGGATTCGAAGGCCACAATACAGGAATATAGACTCTTGGTCTTTTTCTTACTGTCTCCAAATGTAACCAGATAATCCTCTAGTACTTGGGAGCCAAGTTACTGTTTTTGCGAAAACGTTCTGGAGTGTTGCTTTAGAAAACCTAGGAAAGTGTAAGACTAAAGACAAGCCACAGCCTGAAGCCCAGACTGCTGACTTGAGCACAGATGGGAGAATGTTAACAGCCAAGAAATATGAGGTCTTTGGCTCCTTTCCCAGAACTGCCAGGCTAAGACCTTGGCAGAGACTCAACAGGAAACTGAACTCTATTTGCATATCCTTTTATACATGGGAGATTAAAAGCTTCAACCTTGAGTGATCACAGTTTTTGAGAATCACGATGAGGCATTAAAGAGGAGGAGTGTCCCAAGGGAGATGAGCTGGAGGCAAAGCAAGGTAGGTGTGAGGTTAGCAATGACTTTCAATTCCCTTTGATTAATCATGAGTGTATTTCATTTAGTTCTTTTTACTTTATTTTATCCTTTTTGGGTCAGAGCAAGGCAGAAACCTGTGCTTCCCAAGCTTGGGAATCTGTCAAATTTGATTTCCTTTGTCCCACAACTGTTTTCTTCTCATTCTTGCTGGTCAGAGACCTATAGCTTATTAGTGCTGAAGGAACCTTATAGGTCATCCAATATAAACTCTCTATTAAACAGATGAGAATCGAAGATTCAAAGAGATTAACTGATTTATCTAAATCATAACAAAAGAAAATAAGTGTTTGCCTTCCAAACCATTTCCCCTCCCAATAGGCTGCTAGCTCTGGTTAGCAGGTGAAAGTTTTCTCAGCTCTCAAATTGCTCCTTTCCATCCAGCATGTGGTTTACTATTGATATTCTCATAATCTTCTTTTATCAGAACATGCATTTCTGGCACAGCTCTGATTCCTTGGTCTTTCTTCCTAGCTCCACTGGATAAGGTCTCTATAGTTCTTTATCTATCTATCTATCTATCTATCTATCTATCTATCATCTATCATCTATCATCTCTATCTATCTATCTATCTATCTATTATTTTATTGTTTTCAGAGAGAGAAAGAGTTGGGGGGAAGAGATAGAAACATCAATGATGACAGAGAATCATCTACAATATTACCTGTCTCTTGTATGCCCCCTACTGGGGCTCAAGCCCACAACCTAGGTATGCACCCTGACTGGCAACTGAATTATGACCAGGTCCTGGCTCATAGGTCAGGGCTCAATTACAGAGCCACACCAGCCAGGCCTCTATAGTTCTTTAATGGAAGAAGCTAGAGGACTGAAACAAGGCTATTTATCTGGGGGAATCATTAGGAATTCATTTATTTGATTTTCTTGGTCAAGTAGCATAGGGAGAACCCCATATAGACAGCATGGGCAGAATGAGGATGGACAAATGCTACCCTAATGGGTTAGTAACTAAATTTTATAGCTTCCTTTTTAAGGATGAGAAAATATCTCTATTAATAAAAGGGTACATTAATTAAAAATACTGGGAGACGTAGCTGGTTTGGCTCAGTGGATAGAGTGTTGACCTGAAGACTGAGGTGTCCCGGGTTCAATTCCAGTCAAGGGCACATGTCTGAGTTGTAGGCTTGATCCCCAGTAGGGGGGATGCAGGGGGCAGCTGATCAATGATTCTCTCTCATCATTGATGTTTCTATCTATCCCTCTCATTTCCTCTCTAAAATCAATAAAAATAAAAATATTAAACAAACAACACAGGTGACGTCCTGAAGGAGAGCATCCTCAAAGTCAGATAAGGGCAAACTTCTGAAAACTGAGATCCCCTTGTCCAGTGATTGTTTTAGACATCTGAACCAAATCTATTGGAAAAAGATTTTGCATAAAAATCCATTCTCCTTGTTACTTCTGATAAAGCTGGGACTGGCCAGAGCCACCTTCATCTGGAATAGACACAGGGCAATGAAGACACAATGTTATTGGGGAGCCAAACAATCACAATAATGAACTTGTCTTTGAGGCTTTCACTATCATTGGTGCAGGGAAATAATTTAGAGAGGTTGTCTGGAAAGAACATTCCTGATGAGGTATTTTTATGAAAATAATACTGGCAGCAATTTGGATTTAAAAAAATTTTTTTTTTTTGAAAAGTGGTGGTAGTCATTGTCAGTGTTCCCTCTCATTTTCTATCTTTTTCTTTTTTTTCCAGGACAAAAACCACTGTCCTTCAGACCATTAATAACTAAGGGAATTAAGTATTAGCATTATTGAGCACCTTTGGTGTACTTGTCACCCCGGTGTGCCAGATGCCTGCTAGCAATCATTTCATTTAATCCTCATAATAACCCTATGAAATAGGTAGTATTATTGTCTCTATTTCATGAACGAGGAAATAGAGGTTTAGAGAAGGTGAGCAGCCTTGATCAATTCCCATATGAGTAAATGAGGAACTGTGGAATTACCTATTTTTGTTGAATTCCACAGCTCATGCTCTTTTTACTACTAAAAAGGACTCACATATAAAATCATATTTAGTTTATAGACCAAAATATATTTTTTTGAACAAAATTTTAAGCTTGTTCATTTTAAGATCAGTGAAAGGACCTTGCCAAAGTTAGGGACCATGTTCAGATTATTGTTTTTAAGTTCAACACATACTAATATTTTTTTGTGAATGATTAAACATATTTATTTTTTGTATGTTATTTTACCTACTAGAGGCCCGATGCATGAAATTTGTGCATGGTTAGGCCTTCCTTCCCCTGGTTGCTGGCACCAGCTTCCCTCTGGCACTAGTGATCCAGGCTACCCTCCTGCCAATGGCAGCCCCACTTCTTCCGGAAGGACATCTGGTCTAATTAGCATATTATACTTTTATTATTATAGATATTCACTATATTGCCACCTATTAAAGAGAGGAAAATATACCTACTTAAATTGTGCCATAAAACTTATTGTTAACAGCACAATAAAGATGTTTTCATGGATCTGCAAATGTGGGAATGATTATAGAAGTTAGGTATCTGGAACCCAGATAAAACCCCACTCCCATCTTTCTTTCAGTTCATCATTACATGTTTTGCTCTTTCTCACTTTCCTCCAATGTCCTAGAAGTCAAAGGCTAAGAAAAACAACTGTGATGGGTGGCCAGCTCCACCTGAGGGCAGGTGTGAGTTAGATTTTTTGACCACCCAATCATTATTCAGAACAATCCTTCTGCCAACAGAACTTTTGGAAAGATCACTCAGGACTGATTCCTTACCTCCTTACCTTTTGGCCCAACCAGCTCTGGATGTAGTAAGTTGGAAGTTGAAAAAACTGAGAAGTTCAAAGGAGCAGAATGAAGAGGTTGTGTTTCACATGTGACGAAGAGGGTAGTCCCAAGCTGATGAGGAAGGAAGTGCAGGCCTGGGATGGGGAGACCCAGCTGGAGAAAGATCACTGATTGTTTCTACAGGTTCTCCTTTTGTTCTGCCCACCAGAGAGCTTTCTCCTTTATTTCCTTTATGGTTCACTGTGGTGAAAGCACAATTATTCTGTGCTGATTCTTCCTGTTTTAATCTGTTGGTCTATAAACACAACTGATTTTTGATATTATTCCTGGTGATAACAAACCTCTCCAGGTAAGATGTGTAATACTTAACATTCCCCAAAGGACTAATTTTGGAAACATATTCACATGGTCTTTTTTGGAGCTTGGCTGTACCAGTTCATCCAGAGAAATCCAAAGTTAAAGCCAGACGTGTTGCAGGTGATCATCAGGGAGTTGTGGTCCCTCTTTCTCCGAATCCACTAGCTGATTCAGTGAATGAACCTCTGGAAAAGAGAAAGAACGGATGAAACTTGTAAGAGACAGACATTATGGTACCTCCAAACTGATGACTCTTGCACGACCATAGAGAAACAGCACAAGGAAGGTCATCCAGGAAAGACAGTACATGCTAGAGAAGAGGGTGGAAAAGTGCCCACAAACACTTTTTGGATGAAAACTATAAGGGTAGTACCATGGGCACCCAATAGGAAATAGTTTTGCCCTCCTTGCACAGCCTCCTTTTATAGAATAGAGCTACTGTAGTCAGAAAGGATTCTGGGAAGGTACTGGATCCATTCATGCCCACAGACATGATTTTTTAAAAGCTTTCAATAAGCACCAGAAAAAAGAAGCTCTCGAGTCATGTGGCAGGGCATCTTTGGAGCAGGCTGCCTGAGCTTATGCCCAGGCTTAGCTACTCACCAGCACTAAGACCTTTGGCAAGGCCTTAACCTCTCCTTGCTTTGCTTTCTTCATCTGTACAGTAGGGATAATTTTGTAATGGGTTATCATGAAGAGATGAGACAAATCAAAGTATGTAAACTAATTTGAACAGTGACTTGCATGTAAAGTATCACATGACTGTAGGCCTTCCGTTATTATTATCAGCAGTACCTCTTTATATTTGTTGATAATTTTCATTTTCAATATTTTATTTTTAACCTCTTTTTGCTGAAATTTCAGAAGGTTTTCTCTTTTTCTCCACTTATCTGTAATGGGGATGACTGATCACAGTTATCGAGGGCGAGAACTGGAAGGGCCCTCAGGCTGTCTCAGTTCCAGCTTCTTCACTTTATAATGAGCCTGGGGAGGTGAAGTGATGGGCTCTTCTCGCAGTGCAGAACTGGTTTTGAACACAGGTTTCTGGATTTCTTTTCTATCATGTAATAACTCTTTACATGCCACAACTCAATATTGTCTAATTTCTCCTGATTAACTCAGGGTACCTTGGAAACATACCGGGCCTGTGACCGGTGCTGAGTATCATAATATTGCCATTCTTATGACCTTATAGCACCCCATTGACTTTATTTTTCTTAACAGCATTGTCATATTGTTGACTTGTACTTATTTTGGAAAAGAAAGGAGAGGAGATTTTGTCTCTAAATGAAAGGCAGGCTCTGGCCATTGATTCATCTATTGCTCCACAGAAAGGATCAAAGGTACTGCCATGGGGATAAAGGTCAGGGAGCAAGGAGCAGGGTCCCTAAAGAGTGGGATTTATTTAAGTTGAGATGAGAGGGGAGGACTGGTCTTTGTTCTTTCAATCCACAGCATGTACTCTAAGTGTGAAGCTAGGCACCCATTAGAATGCAAAAGGACCCATCTTCCTTCCTTTCTTTCCTTCCTGCCTCCTTTCCCCTCCCTCTCCCCCGCCCCCCTTCTTTCTTTTCCTCACCCAAGGATAGAGAATATTTTTTTCCCATTGACTTCTAGAGAGAATGTAAGGAGGGGAGGGGGGAGAGAGGGGAAGAGAGAGAAACAACGTGAGAGAGGCATATCGATTGGTTTCCTCCTGCATGTGTCCTTGTTGAGTATATACACGTGACCTTTCAGTCTGCAGGCCAATGTTCTAACCACTGAGCAACTTATGCAGGGCTCAAGGAGTTTCTTTAGAAAGAGGTGGAGAACAAAGACAAAC